TCTCTCTCTCTCTCTCTCTCTCTCTCTCTCTCTCTCTCTCTCTCTCTCTCTCTCTCTCTCTCTCTCTCTCTCTCTCTCTCTCTCTCTCTCAGCATCACTGTTTCGCGTATGCTGACTATTGCAAGGTATTGGTTCGGAAGCCGTTGCACGACGTATGGTTTTATGTGTTTCAAGTCATTGAATTTCATCTCTTTCTTGTACCCTTGTCATCAAATCAGAGCTGGCAATCTTTTTTCCAATATAGTGCAGATAAGGCACAAAAAAGAAGTAGACTGGACACGGGGTTGTAGGCATCGCGTTGCAGTTTAGTAGTATCACCATTGGGTTTTAAGGTTTTGACATTTGTTTCTTTTTCAAGACAATACAGGGCCGTGCTAGACAGAAAGTATAAATCAGAGGTAGAATTATCAGTAGAAGATGGGAACACTAGAATTCTAGCATTAACATTGCTATAATTCTAGTGTTCCCATCATGTTCTAGTTGGCAGAGAGAATCAGCCCGGCTGAGGGGGAGTGGACTGGTCAGGTCGTAGGGCATTTAGGAGGGCCCGCCGCTGTAAAAAAACTGAATCAGCGGCGGGCAGCCGCTGAAAAGGGAACGCGGCGATAGCTGGGTGTACTGGTGGTTTAAAACAGGTTGAAAACAGAATCAGACAGACTCAAATAGACGTGTAGACGAAATAGTCTCAAAAGAGACTTGAACAGACTCACACGGACTCAAAAGAGGCTCAAACATGCGCAAACAGTCGCGTGACATACTCAAACAGACTTGAAACTGACTCAGAACAGAACTGGACAGACTCAAACAGACGTACTGTAACGGACTCAAAACAGAACCAAACGGACTCAAATGGACGTACGGACTCAAGCAGAGACTGAAAACAGACTCAAGCACGCTGTCTACTTGTGTCCTCGACATGTTTCAAAAAAAAAAACGTCCGATTGCAGTTTGCAAAAGATGCAGTGTAATGCTCAGAATCATCACACGTCGATCGTCGTCGTCAAATTCACAACCAGCCTCCCAGAATGACAAAAATAGTGGGGACATAGTTTTTTTTGGAACTCCATCCCACCTGTTGGAGCTGCACCCAGTGGGACAAGGCTGAGCACTGGGTCTGAAAAAGGTGGGTGGGCGAAGGGCCAAAATCCGCCCGCCAACCCGCCCGGCGCATATGCACAGCTGAGCGGCGGAGCGCCTGAGCGGCATTCCAGGCAGGCAGGTTTGGCCGGTCCGTACGCCCGGCCAAGCAGCCCACTGGCAAACAAACAGGCAGAAGTTCACATATTTTTTTTTTAAATTATGGTACAACAACTTGCTACAGCTGCTGCATTCCAGTTTGCTGCAGAAGGCTAGCAGCTGTTGCAGGTTCTTGTCCATCCCTGAATAACCCATAACTGTTGTCGTAAATGCCAGCAAACCGGAATTATTATGTTTTTAGAATCTTAGAAAAAGTACCTCCTCAGCCTGTCTTTAGATAAAGTATCCTCTCAGGATGTGTGCTGCTTGTAAAGGTGACACACCTTGTGAGTTTTGTGCAGTAACTGCCTCCTTCAGAAGGCTTCATTGCATAGCACTGGGTATCCAAGGCAGGCCACTGTCTGCAATAAATGGCAGCACCTGGTGCAGAAGAGAGCCACATTCATGACATTTCAGCAGCAATGTCTATCTGATTCCGGGACCTCTCAAGAATGGATCCAACTATCAGCTGTACCTGCTGCAGTATCTGCTAGTCTTCGGTCTAGATGCCATAGACCCTATTAACCTGTCTATGCCGCGAAGAAATGAGACCAATGACACAATTCATGACATTGCATTTTCTGCAAACTGCGATCGCCGGGCTTTTTTTTTTTTTTGAAACATGTAGAGGACACAAGTAGACAGCCTACCCTAGTGGAAACACAAAACCCTAATCCCTGCTTAAACCCTAAACCCCGCATTTTCGGTAAAATTGAGTGTTTTGAACTTTTTTCCCATTTCACAGTATGTACTTGAGTGACCTGAAGAGGTCATATGCATATGCCTTGTCCGGTAAGGCCCTTTTTTTGGGATGAGTGATCATCCATGAGACTACCACTCATCCCAAAATATGGCCCTTATTAGACATGCCAAATCACCTCCTCAGGTTGTTAAAGCACAGACTGCAAAATGGGAAAAAACTTCAAAAAAGTTTAAAAATCTCAATTTTAACGAAAATGCAGGTTTGTGTGTTGTCATGTTCCCTATACAAAAGTACACAAAAAAGGTATTGTGCCAGACTGTTTCGTCTTACTTCACCGACTCATCAGAGGTTGAACCCCGTGTGTGTGTGTGT